CTTTTGATACAGCACACGGATGTCCCTTTACCATGAGACACTCAGACATAGAACGGTCTATTTATGTACAATATCATTCCTTCTAGCCAACTAGTTTTGAACGCTGAGTGTCTCATGGTAAAGGGACATCCGTGTGCTGTATCAAAAGCTATAACAACTCTCCAGGCTAAAAAATGCTCTCCCACTCTCCTGTTTTCATGGCTCTTAGCACCTTTGGTGGAAGGTCATTAGATTTAGCTATCATCAGTCCTATATTCCACTCCCAGAGTTTATTTTTTCTTTACCAGCATAAAATGAAGAAGCAGCCCCTCTACTAAGGAATTAACTCTTCACTTGCCAGCCCTTCGGGATGTGTTTCAATCTTTGTTAATTTTTTTCTTTAAAATGTACATTTAAAAAAAATAATAAACACACAGTACCATGGTGAATTATCTGCTTCTTATCTTGGCCAGTGGGCTCTTTGTACCTGCAGCAGTTCCTATTGCAGCCTTCTGCTGAGGGAGAGAATGAACCAATTTCCTTCCCGGTTTTCATTCAAGCACAGTCCACACGTTCTGTTGAGTCCAAACTCGGCCATTCAAGAGGTATGGTGTGATCATCACAGAATTTAACATAAAAGCGATAAAGTTCAGCTCACACCTTCTCCTCAGGCTTGGTTGCTCCTAGGGTTCCCTCCCTAATGATCTTTTATCCCATAGATACTCTCTTTCTAAACAATCACTCCCATCTCCATTATATGAGGATGGTGTAAAGCACCAACTGTCTCAGCGAGTGAACAGCAGCCACTTAACCATTTCCTAGCAGTATCAAAACCTCTCTACAGGGTGTGCTAGCACTGCCAGCTTGTGGTGGGGTTCTCTTTGTCATCATTCTAGACTTGAATAGTGTTTTCTGCACTCAATCTGGGGGTACAGGAGAAGTTAAGATTAAGTATATTAAGTTAGCCCATTTAATTCCACACCTGTCTCAAGCACTGCTTGACTACAATTCACAGTAAAAGAAGGACGAAATCATATAATTGTACATATCACACAGAAAAAAATATAGCTGCAGAACTAAGCTTCTCTTGCACTAAAGAATTTAGCGGGCATCGTATTTGTGCAATAAAATTGCATAATACTGCATGTGTACATCTACTGTACACAAACTTCTACATAGTCTATGCTTCATATAATTTCTTTGTAAAATTATATATTCAGCTCCTACATTGCAATAGTATTACATAGCATTACACTCAAAAGGGTGATTTCTATTAGAGAACACACTGGAAAAGTGTCAGACATATAGATACATCCGCTATGTCTGATGTTACAGAAAAGAGCTAAAGAGATATTAAGTCACTCAAATTGCTCCTTTGCTATTTTCTCTGTTTTGTTTAGCCTGAACATAGAAATTGACAACATAAATAAAACATATTACCAGGTTACAAATAGGTACTTTAGATCCTCCAATGGGCATATGTGACACAACTACAACAAAATGTGATGTGTGACTTTCCATTACAATGCATCAAATAGGAAAAAGGAGAACAGATGGCTCCGGAGACATACTGCTCAGTTGTGTAACATCAGGATTAGACTACAGATATATAGATTTGTAGATAACAAAACTAGTAATGTTGGGCAGAAAAGATTTACACCATAACAGTCTACTGTGTAGTGTTTCAAAGTAGCTCCCATAAGAGGAGTAAAATACACACACACACACACACACACACACACAGAATGATCTCATTTGATAACATTGGTATACAAAAATAAAGTAGGCTGTTATGAAAAATTTGACATATTTATGTGAGAAATACACCAAGCTCTTTGTAAAATACTGTACAGCATATGACATTATATATACCAAAATTACTGTACTTGAAGTTACTCTGTTTTACAGAGAAAGTCAATCTATTTCTTTTTTAAAAAACAAAACAAAATGTATGAATAGAATCCTGAATCTGGTATGACATAGGTTACAAAGCTTCCCCCCCCCCCCCGTAGTTCAATAAAAAATATAGTTATCCTATGAACAGTCACAAGACTTGGTAATTATGCTAGCTCAAATACAGAGCACCTTCCTAAAGAAATGTAATAATCAAATGTAATGTTTTGTAAATTTCTAGACTGTTTTAATGGGATATTATCTTTTGCAATAAACTAACTTATTTTTTTTGGTTTCAAGACTCAATTAATAAACATTTAGGGGGAGTACAGAGGAAATGAAAGATTGCTCTTGAGAAAGGAGGAAGGATCGGGCATAGTATCCTTTATAAATTCATATTAATTAGATTCTCTAGGTCAGTGGTTCTCAGCCAGGGGTATACGTACCCCTGGGGGGTACATAGAGGTTTCCGGGGGTACATCGAGGTTTCCAGTGGTACATCAAATCATCTAGATATTTGACTAGTTTTACAACAGGCTACATAAAAAGCACTAGCGGAGTACGTGCAAACTAAAATTTCACATAGACCAGGGGTCTCAAACTCCTGGCCCATGGGCCATCTGTGGCCCACGAGCCTCTCTAATGTGGCCCACGGGACTCCAGCAATTTTGGGGCCGGGTCTCTCCCTTGGCTCCACCTGCTGCCCCCGGGCGCTCCCCCCTCAGGGGCCCCAGCAGCGCAGTGGAGCTGAGCGGCATCTGCCTGCTTGCTCAAGTGGCTGCCGGCCCCTCCCTGTGGCCCAGGAGTGGTGCGGGGCTGTGCCTCTGCGCGCTGCCCCTAGCCCGAGTGCCCCTGCGGTCAATGGGACGCTGTGGGGGTGGTGTCTGGGGGCAGAAGCGCACAGAGACCCTCCGGCCCACCCCGCCTTGGAGCCCCAGGTAAACACCACACCCCCTCCCCCCTCCGAGAGCCTGCATCCCCACCCCCTTCCCACACACCCCCTCCCACCTCCAAACTCCCTCCCAGAGCCTGCGCCCAGTCCCCACAACCCCAGCCCACAAATTCCCTCCCAGAGCCTGCACCCCCTTCCCACACCCCCAAACTCCCTCCCAGAGCCTGCACCCCTCCCTACATACCTCAGCCCCCAAACTCCCTCCCAGAGCCTGCACCCCCTCCCCACACACTCCCAGCCCCCAAATTCCATCCCAGAGCCTGATACCAGACCCCCTCCCCCACCCAAACTCCCTCCCAGAGCCCAACCTCTCATCCCTTCTGCACCCAAACTCCCTCCCAGAGCGTGCACTCCAATCCTCTACCACAAACCTCTCCCCCTCCCCCCGCAAACTCTGTTCCAGGGCCTCAGGCAAGTGGGGGTGGAGTTTTGGGGGGGCGGGTTCTGGGTGGCATGAGTGACATTGGCCCACTGGGAGGATTTGAGGACTGGCACTGGCCCTAAGGTACATTGAGTTTGAGACCCCTGACATAGACAATGACTTGTTTATATTGCTCTATATACTATACACTGAAATGTAAGTACAATATTTATATTCCAAATGATTTATTTTATAATTATAATTTAAAAATGAGAAAGTCAGCATTTTTTCAGTAACAGTGTGCTGTGATACTTTTGTAATTTTAGGTCTGATTTTGTAATCAAGTAGTTTTTAAATGAGGTGAAACTTGGGGTACACAAGACAAATCAGACTCCTGAAAGGGATACAGTAGTCTGGAAAGGTTGAGATCCACTGCTCCAGGTAGAGAAGGAGAATTTCAACTCTCAGTGGTTTATTTTCACACTTCAAAATATATCACACTGTATTATCAATCATTTTAGCTTTGCAAATTCTTGCTCTGGTTATAACTTGTGAACAGTGACGTGTACTATGCCAATCATATTATGGTTCTAAAGAATGCACCTTTTTGATCTCCCAGTATGAAGCAAAGGTGTGAAATAATGGGATGATAGAAACTGTATAAAACCCCCCAGTTGTCAGGGGACAGGATCGAACCTGGGACATTTGGAGCTTAGTGTATGAGTCTCTACTGTATGAGCTAAAAGCCACATGGCCCCTAGCTAAGGCTGTAGCAGAATCGTTAATCTCTAAGTGGTCTCACTGCCAATAGAGGGGACAGAACACCATACCCAGGAGGTGTGTGGGTTACAACTGCACCAAAAGAACTAGGTGAAATGCAAAAGGCCACCAAATCTTAGAAGGACGTATGGGTCAACAGTGTTCCAAATAAAAGATCTGGAAAGTTTTGCTCTCTCATGATCCTCTCCTTAACTTCCCTCTCCACCCAAGAAAAAAGGGAGAACTCCTTAACAAATAACATGCCAATGCCTCACTTTGTTCAGGATCCTTACTTCCAGACATGCTAATTGCTGAAAC